AAATGCAATGCTGCTATTTTAATGTCTAACAGGTCTGTGCTTCATGAAAACCAAGCAAGGAGTGCCTCAGTCTGAACTTTGACACAGGAAATCTACCTGTGGGAGGGTGTAATTAGCCAGATTTCAGAGCAATACAGCTTTGAGTGGCTGAGCCATGGCCATATTTAAACATTGCGTTGAGTCGCAAGGATGCACGTTTGCAACATAGCTGTGTCTGTTTTTTGTATGGAGCATATGCCTAATATCTCCTTTTCCAGTTAAGGCCTCTACAAATTCGCTCGTGCTCTAAAAAAGCATTTAAACGGTAAGTTAAGCCATTTCTTTGTTCCCACATCTTGCATATGGTGTGCATGCTTCCAGGTTAGGCTCTGTCCATCCACTCTGCAAAAGAAGACGTGTAGGTTTTTATGCCCCACTTTCCTCTACCTTAAGGACATAAGAGAAGCCGTGCTGAATCAGGCCAATGGCCCATCCCGTCCCATACCCTGTGTCACACAGTGTCCAAAACCCAGGTGCCATCAGGAGGCCCACCAGGAGGAGTCTCAAAGCCGCTCACAATCGCATTCCTTTCCTCTCCCTCTGCGGCAGCCATTTTGTCTCTGCACCACCCATGCTGTGTCAGAATTCCAAATGTGCCACAGACGCAAATACCTCTGGCCCAGAGGTATTTCTCTGTGAGAACAGTTGGTGGAGAAAGTGATTACTACGAGGAAAAGGCAGAGGGCACTGAGATTATAAACATCAGATGGCGAGGGGAAGAAACCTCCAGTCAGCAGCAGCTCTCGAAAATGGCTCTGCCATGCACCAGTTGCTGTTTCTGTCCCTTGAATTGTGCCACATTATTATGTATTTATTATCCCCTACAGGGCCAACCACGTCATGCATTTACATTGCACCTAGTTTAAGAATGTGAGGTCCCGGCCTTTTAATATGGAGCTGAAGATGGCCATGGTTGTGTGAAGACATAGAAGAGATCTCTTAGGAGATATCATATATCATAGCAGATACCATAGGAGATCACTACCATCCTTCATTTTTGCCCCACCTTCCTCCCCGATGAGGACCCAAAGTGTTTTCTATCCACCTAGCCTCCATTTTATCCTCACAGCAGCTGTGTGAGGTAGATGAGGTGGAGAGTGTGTGACTGGCCCAAGCTTCCAGGGCCGAGTGAGGATTCGAACCTGGGCCTCCCAGATCTGAGTCCAGCACTCTCGCAGCCACGACACCACACATAGCAGGTATTTAGTGTCACAACCTCCCTGAAGGGCAGTTTGGGAGTGGGGAGAGAATGAGTTGTCCTCAGGTAATGAGGTGAATGTAGCTTGTTTGGGGACTGGAAGCTGGGTGTTTCCAGTCCAAGCTCACAGCTTTATCCCCATATAGCTCTCAAAAGACTACCTGGCTTTAATGACTTGAGTTTGCTTGGGTGACTCTCTGGAATGATGTGCCAACTGCTGAAATGTCGCAGCATTACTGCATTGCTCTGGGGCCGCTGCTCCCTCCTTACTGGAGGGAGACAGGAATGTAGTAATTGCTGAGGAGGTAGCCGTAGTCCGGTGGCACCTTAAAGACCAACAAAATTCATCCCAGCCTGAGCTTTGTTGAGTCAGGGCTCACTTCCGTTAGATTTACCGGATGAAGTGAGCTCCAACTCCAGAAAGCTTACGCTGGAATACATTTCATTAGTCTGTGAGGCACTATGGGTCTCCTCTTGAGGAAGGTAGCAACTGCTGGAGTGAGCAACTCAATTTGGTGTAGTGGTTTGGTGAGAGCCAGTTTGGTGTAGTGGTTAAGTGTGCGGACTCTAATCTGGGATAACTGGGTTTGATTCCCCACTCCTCCACTTGCACCTGCTGGATGACCTTGGGTTAGTCACAAGTTCTCTCAGAGCTGTTCTCCCAAGAGCTCCTGACCACCATCCATTACTAATGCTGTCACTGAATACGAATGTTCTCTGAAAATCCCACCTGTATTCTCATGCACCCAACACAGTCTACTTGATAGCCCCTGGTTTTCTTTAAAAAAACGAGTTACATAGAATTAAACATTGTCTCTCTTAAGGAGGTGACACAAAGCTGAAACCATCTAACCAAAGTAAAAATACGACTGAGAAGGGGAGGGGCATTGTGTTCACAGGGAATGGACGCTGACCCAGGGGTCGGTTCATACGTCTCAGGGTATATGCTCATCCACTGGAGTTTTACTGCTTCATTGTCTGCATTTTGAATACAGGCACTGATGGTAAAGGGGTGGTGGTAGATAAGCTAATAAAGCAACTGAAGTTCCTCTTCCAAATAGTTTTAGATACAGCACCAGAGGCTGGCATGCGATGCCATGATGTCACTTCTGGGTACATAACTGGAAGTTATGCCATGTGATGTTCTAGGAATTTCCAATATCTTTATGGTATAAACCATAGAGATTTGGGAATTCCTAGAGTGCCACATGATTCCACAGTGTCACTTCCATTATATACCTGGAGGTGATGCTTACCCTAGTCCAGAAATACTTTATTTCTTAAAAAGCAAAGTAGATATGTGAGCCTCAATAAGCAAACCACTGAAATAAAATGAACATTTTAAATTATTTCCTCCATATGTAATCTCTGTCCTAAGTCTGATGTTTAAGTAAACTTGAGTTCATTACAGACTGCATACTTCCTCAGCTGGAGTAGACTGTCAGAGGGCATAGCCAGGAGTGGAAGCCTCCAGGACCTAGATGTCAAACATAAGGCCAGAGGTCACGAGCGATTGGTGCAAAGGAGGAAACAGGAGGCAGCTGGGGGGGGGCGCGAGTGGGCGGAGCCACTTCGATGGTGGCTTCAGCGCAGCAGACGAACCTCGTCTGCAGCAGTCAAGCAGAACCCCTTTTCACATGCCTCTCCACTTGGCCTGTAGCTCCAGGGATGCTGTCCCTGATGGCCACAGGGATCAGCATTTGCACGTGATGGGGTACAGACAATCTTCTGTCTGGGGCCTGGTGGCGGCCAGCAGTGCTGCTATATTCATGCCCCTCCCAAACGGTGGCTGCGCTTTGGCCCTTTGGGGGGGTGTTCTTCAGCAGTTTCCTCCACACATCAAGCAAGCGACTTGGTGGCTGAGCCTCCCTCCCCAATGGACCAGCCTTCAGCCGCAGAGTCCACCTTCTGAAGAGACTATTTTCTCCAGGGGAAGTGGAGATCAGTTGGAATCCTGGGAGATCTCCAGCCATCAATGGAAGGTTGGCAACCCTAGGCCCTGAATGCCTCTGGGGAATGGGAGCATTAGAGTGTGGTCTCCCTTGCTTCCAACACACTTCTAATGGAAAACTTGTATTGGCCGCAATGCTCATCGGCATTACAAATGCTCCTTCTCCACTTCCTCTTCCATATCAATGGTAGCCAGAGATTAACGCGCAGCGTGCAAGTCAGGCTCATGAGCCATGTCAGTCTACAGGAAAGCTTCCTAAGGGTTTGAGAGAAAAGCTGCCAGGATACCTGGTTGTGAATGCACCTCCCGGGCTTGTGGGGTTCCGGTCGTCGTTACTGTGCAGCACTGACAGTGGCCATAGATTGTGAGGTCCTCCCGGGCCACCAGCGGGGGGCCACAGTGGGAGGCCACAGTGCTTGGGGGGCCACAGTGGGAGGCCCCCGCTGGTGGACCTCCTGATGGCACCTGGTTTTTGGCCACAGTGTGACACAGAGTGCTGGACTGGATGGGCCACTGGCCTGATCCAACATGGCTCCTCTTGTGTTCTTACAGTTCCCCTCCAAAGCATCCCTTTTCTCCAGGGGAACCGATCTCTAGAGTCTGGAGATGAGCTATCATTCCGGGGGGATCCCCAAGTCCCACCTGGAGGCTGGCATCCCTGGTGGGCTGTGGCTCAGTGGAAGAGCCTCTGCTTCATATCCACGAGGGTCCCCCGGTTCGAACCCCGGCGGCATCTCCAGTTGAAAAGATCCAGTGGGAGATGCCGTGGAAAGACCCCTCTGCCCGAGACCCCAGAGAGCCGCTGCCAGCCTGAGTCGACGATACTGACCCCGATGGACTGAGGGTCTGAATCAGCAGAGGGCAGCTTCATGCGCCTGGGAGGGGTCCTCTTTCTCCCATTCGAGGAGAGGCCGAAGGGTTGGGGGATGGGACACTCCCTGGCAACGCTCCCTCTAAGCCGTGGCGCCTCGTGAGCGAGAATCCCACTTTGTGAGCTACTGGCACCAAAGTTGTGAGCCAGCGATATGGCTGCCACATAGATTAGCTTGCTCCGGAGCCCTCGTTCCCTGAGCGAAGGCAAAACTTTGTGTAAAAGGTAAAGGTTCCCTTGCTCGAAAGCCAGTCCAGTCCGACTCCGTTTCCAAGCCGAAGAGCCAGCGCTGTCCGAAGACGTTCCCGGCATGACTAAACACCAAGGCGCACCGCTCCCTGGGCTCTTGGGCCTATCAATCCGGGGTGTGTACCGCCTGTGTGAAAGGTGTGTGCTTAAAGTCTTCTCTGGCTCTGGCGCTTTGGCTCAGTTATTCATGGGGCCGAAGTGGGTGGTGGGGACACCCCCCCCCCAAGTGCTGATGTCAGTCCTGGAGCCCCGGGCATAGGCGTAATCTTCGTGGGGGCGGCGGGGGGGGGTTAGCCCCCGCCGAAATTTTCAGGAAAGTGCTCAGCCTCCCCCGGGAGCCACCCTTGCTCCTAGCAAAGCAATGCCTCTGGCCCAGCCCCAGCAAATTGGAAAGTCTACACCCACGGGCAAAAGCCGCGTGGCTGGCGGAGCAAGCCGGGCTGCTCTCGCTTGCGCCGCTGCTGCTGCTGCTGCAGAGAGAGAGCGAGGGAGCGAGCGCGCCTCTCCCCCTCTCCCTCTTTCGCCGACTGAGCAAAAGGGTGCAGCGGGAGCAGCATGCAGCCTGGCGCCCCTTCCACTTCCAGCCTCCTCCTCTGTAGCAGCCGCCGCCGCCGCACCGCTCAGGCCAAGAGGAGCGCAGGGCCAAGGGGGGCCCCGGGGGCGGAGGAGGAGGCGGCGGCGGAGGGAGCGCCATGGCTCGGCGGCCGGGCTGGGGCTGCGGCGGCTCCTTCTTTTGGCTGCTGGCGCTGGCGGCCGCCTGCCTGCTGCCCGGCGCCCAGGTGAGGAAGGCGCTCCGGTGCCCGGCCACATGCAGCTGCACCAAGGACTCCGTCATCTGCGTCGGCTCGGCCAGTGTGCCGCGCCTCGTCCCCGGCGACATCAGCTCCTTGTAAGTCTGCCCCCGGCAGCAGCAGCAGCAGCAGCCGCCCCCCGCCCGCCCGCTGGTCTCGGGAACCCCCTCCTCGCCCTCGGGGAGGGAACTCGGGGTGGTTTTTTTTGGGGGGGGGGAAACTTTCTTCCCCGGCCGCTCCCTTCCCAACAGTGCGCAGCAGGATTGGGGGGTCTGGGGCTGTTTTGGCTGGAGTGGCGCGTTGTGGCTGGGCTTGGGGGGGGGGGTTGTTTTGTCTCAAAGATCTGTCTTGAAGCCACGGGGGGGCTGGAAGAGACGGCTCTTCAGGAAGGAGAAGCTGGGGGAAATGGGTCACCCGGGGTTCCCTCTAAGCTGAGTTAGGGTGAGCTAGCACACAGTTTTTTAGCCTCCGGCTCACACACGTTTGTCTCAGCTCAGGAAGGAGGGCTCCAGAGCAAACTCATGTATGCAGTAGCCAAGTCACTCGCTCACAGCTTTAATGCCAGCAGCTCACAGGGTAGAATTTATGCTCACGAGACTGTACAGCTTAGAGGGAACATTGCCCCCCCCCAAAAAAACCCACTCCTCCGTGAATTAGCAAGATGTGGCAAGGGACCATGTTCAAGTCCTTTGGAGTCGAAAGGACCGTTTTACATCTGGGCGATTAATGATCTGGCGCGAACTACCTTGGCAGCCGGTGTTCCCTCTAAGCTGAGTTCGTGTGAGCTAGCTCACAGTTTTTTAGCCTCCAGCTCACCCATTTTTTTGTCTTAGCTCAGGAAGGAGGGCTCCAGGGCAAACTGATTTATGCAGTAGCCAAATTCCTCACTCACAGCTTTAATGCCAGAAGCTCACAAAGTAGAATTTTTGCTCACAAGACTCCACAGCTTAGAGGGAATATTGCGACCAGTGTTCCCTCTAAGCTGAGTTCGTGTGAGCTAGCTCACAGTTTTTTAGCCTCCGGCTCACCCATTTTTTGTCTATGCTCAGGAAGGAGGGCTCCAGGGCAAACTGATTTATGCAGTAGCCAAACCGCTCCCTCACAACTTTAATGCCAGGAGCTCACAAAGTAGAATTTTTGCTCACAAGACTCCACGGCTCAGAGGGAGCCATTGGCACCAAGATGGTTCAGAGTCCTGCAACTTCCGAGTGGCTTGCCGGTATTGGGAAAGGAAGGACTTAGAAAAAACCCCAACAACAACCCAAAGCCCCTGCACCCCTTTAAAAGCAGCTAAGCTTTAAAATCCTGCACCAAGCTTGCTTGCTTGCTTGCTTCCAATACAAAGAGGCAAACAAAGGAAGTAATCTTTTGATGTCTGGGAGAAAGAAGGTAGAAATGCCTGGTACAGGATGCGTGGGTGCCAATTTTGCCCTGACCCGGACGGCCCGGGCTAGCCTGCTCTCATCAGATCTTGGAAGCAAAGCAGCGTCAGCCCTGGCTAGTCCTTGGATGAGAGACCACCGAGGAGGACCAGGGTCGTGGCATGGAGGCAGGTAGCGGCGAACCACCACTGAACGTCTCTTGCCACATGGACCCCCATGGGGTTGCCATAAGTCAGCTCTGACTTGCCAGCAAAGAACAACAACAGAGACCATAGAGGGGCAGAGACCGTAGAGAGGCAGAGACCGTAGAGGGGCAGGTGTGCTGGGGGAGGGGGGAATGACCTCTGTAGTAGGCCGAAAAAGAAGGTCAGGAATGGCTCTTTATTGGGAGAGGAAACGACAAAGCTCTTTACCACAGGTGATGATAGGGCAGACAGCAATGTTGTGATCGGTGGCGCTGGAATTTTATTTTATTTTATCTTTGCTTTGTTCCCCCCCCCCCCCCGGGGCTTAAATGGAACCTTTCCCGAAATCAGGGAAAGAATGTTTTCTCATCTGCCTTCCCTCCAGTTGCTGTAAGTATTGCATTGTTACACATTAAGAGATAGGATGCAAGTTCGTCCCCAGAGCGGAAGTGTGATGGGGTTTCAGAACAGCTGGTTTCAAATCACTCACCGCTGAACGGGAAGGTCCCCTTTCGGTGCCTCACTCTCTAGCACAAAAGGTGTGATAATGTGTTAAGTTCTATATCCAGAGAAAACGCAAGAGGGTGGTCCCAACCACAGACCAGATTAGTGGGTAACATCGAAAAGCTGAGAAGCTTGAGAAGGAAGGGATCGGTTTGTGTCTACTCTGTTGGAATTCCATTGAGAACAACCAGGTTTGTTGGCAAGACATTGTAAAGCGATATCTGTAATGCCCGTTGGATTGTAGGGGCAGCGGGAGCGATACAACACAGGGATCCCTGGTGGTTGACATTCTTTTTTCGAGATTTTTTTTCATTCTCATGGTCCAAGATTATGGCAATATGGATTATGGAGCTAAGTCCAGAAATCAAATGCAAGGAGCCATGAACACATTTCCTTTTATCAGGATGCAACCCAATGACACGTAATAGTGTGGAAGCTGCTCCAGATCTCTTCTACGGAATGGATATTACAGACATTGGTTTAAAATGGGTCTGGGGAACTGATGTTGTGTTGTTGTTCCAAGAAACTGGTCTAAGATTGGTCCACCGTGCAATGCTCCCTCTAAGCTGCGGAGTCTTGTGAGCAAAAATTCTACTTTGTGAGCTCCTGGCATTAAAGTTGTGAGCGAGCGATTGGGCTACTGCATGAATTAGTTTGCTCCGGAGCCATCCTTCCTGAGCTAGAACAAAAAATGTGTGAGCCAGAGGCTAAAAACATATGAGCTAGCTCACAGTAACTCAGCTTAGAGGGAACATTGCTACCTTGTTACGTATCCTGTGTTTCTCTAGCATGTCCGTGTAACGCTGTCTCCTTCAGCACCCTTGCCCAGTAGAACCCCATCACTGCTCTTAGAAAGTTCTCCATCTCCAGGTTGTTCTTGTAGCCTTGGTCACCCTCATTCTTTCTACATACAAGCCAGGGTATGGTCCTCTTTGGGCCTTGATTTTGTCGGAAAAAAGGGACAACTGCTTCCCACATTCAGGCAGCCTCATACCGAGTCAGATCACTGGTCTGACAGTGGCAGTCTTTAGAAAAGAACTGGAGTCCAGGAGCACCTTAAAGACTAACAAAATATGCGGCAGGGTAGGTGTTTCCCTGAGCCACTGCTCACTTCTTCAGGGACTGACTATCTGAAGAAGTATCTGAAGAGGGGAGCAGCGAGTCATGAAAGCGCCTCCCCTGCCACATAGTTTGTTAGTCTTTTAAGGTGCTCCTGGACCCTTGCTCTTTTCTACTGCTGCGGACCGACTAACACGGCTACCCAACTTGATCTAACGTAAGTCTTGTTTGGTGTAGTGGTTAAGTGCGCTGACTCTAATCTGGGAGAACCGGGTTTGATTCCCCCACTCCTCCACTTGCACCTGGCTGGATGACCTTGGGCAAGCCGTAGTTCTGATAAGAGCTGTTCTTGAAAAAGAGCAATTTCTGTCAGAGCTCTCTCAGCCCCACCTACCTCAGAGGGTGTCTGTTGTGGGGAGGGGAAGGGAAAGGAGTTTGTAAGCTGCTCTGAGACTCCTTTGGGTAGTGAAGGGAGGGGTATGAATCAAATCTCCTCCTCCTCCTCCTCCTCCTCCTATTCTTCTTCTTGCTGGCAGTAGCTCTCCAGGGTCTCAAGCAGGGGTCTCTCACATCACCTCATACTTCCATCTGGAGATGCGGAGAACTGAACCAGGGACCTTCTGCATGCAAAGCGAATGCTATTCCATCGAGGCAGGGCCCCACCCATTCAGAGGGAAGGGGAGGGGAGGGAAGAACCTGCTCGAGAACAAAATTCCTACTGAATTTTAAGTCTTTTGATTGCTTTGACCGAATGCAGCAACTTTCCCCTCTCTAGTAGTACAACTAATACAGATGACTCTAGTAGTACAACTAATACAGCTCATCTCCAGACTACAGAGATCAGTTCCCCTGGAGAAAGAATAATAATTATTATTATTATCATATGGCATTGTGTGTAGAATAGCCAAGAGATCCTAAGATTGCCTGGCAGCCAGACATTCTAGCTCTTTTAGCATTATGCACCACTAGGTGGCGATTTGGACTTGTTTTTAAGGTAAGCGACATTTCAGAGGTGGTTTGCCATTGCCTGCCTCTGCGTCGCAGCCCTGGCATTCCTTGGAGGTCACCCTTCTAAATACTAGCCAGGGCTGACCATGCTTAGCTTCCGAGATGCCCCTGAAGATAATTAATGCTTTGGAGGGTGGATTCTACGGCATTGTACCCCACTGAGGTCCCTGTCCTTACCAGGTCCCACCCCCAAACCTCTAGGAGTTTCCCATCTTTGATCTGGCAATCCTGCCCCCACACCCGATTGCCGTTGGCCAGGGGGGACCTGGAACCCCTGACCCATGCCACTGAAAACAGGCCACCTCTACTTCTCCCACCCCCCTACACACACCACTGACTCTTTTGAAGGCAGTTGGGTCGGCTGTAACTGTGCATCGACACAGTGAGCCTCCAGAACTGCGGTTGTCATGCAACAGTTGAAGAAATAAGACACTGAAGTGAAAGTAATGAACTGTAAAGAAGTGTGGAGATTTAGCATCTGGCCCCAGCGCACTGGACTGATCATCTTCCCTCAGGCTATTTAGTCATTATGTCTGACTTTGATGTATTCGTGCTCATACAGTACAGCCCCGGTGTAGACGTAATCCCGATCTAAGACCATTTGACGTCAGTTCAGCAGTGCAGGGATCCATGACGTTTGGTGTTCTTTTTTTCAAGACCCGTGCTCTAGCATGCGGTACAGTCTTGTAATTTTGCATAGGATTGCACTGTTAAATGGGATTTTACTACAATTAGGGGCTTGCAATGCCCAGTTTTATGATTTGTAGTTGCGGTAATGTTTACACTTTCATTTGTGATAGCCATTTGGAGGGGCTAAGGAATAACACTAAAACCCTGTAATATCCCGCAGTGCTCTTTTTGTAGCAGGAACTCCTTTGCGTATTAGGCGACACACCCCTAATGTAGCCAATCCTCCAAGAGTTTACAGAGCTCTTCTTACAGGGGCTACTCTAAGCTCTTGGAGGGTTGGCTACATCAGGGGTGTGTTGTCTAATATGCAAAGGAGTTCCTGCTACAAAAAGAGCCCAATTTTTTGTAATTGATGCAGTGCATTGTGGACTACAAGCATCAGCTGGTGCTGACGATGTCCTCTGCGCATTGGCAAGCAGAGGTTGCGGACAAGCTGCCTGAGGCCCTGCAGAACGTGGGACCTGCACGGGTTGCAGAAAGGACTCCCAAATAGTCCGTGCAACTGGGGTTTCCAACTCGAGAAATTTCTTGAGGCTTTCTGGGCTGTGTGGCCGTGGTTTTGGCATTGTAGGACCTGACGTTTCACCAGTAGCTGTGACCGGCATCCTCAGAGGTATAACACAGAAAGATGGAGCACTCTCTGTGTCAAGGACTGTGTCAGAGTACTCCATCTCTCTGTGTTATACCTCTGAGGATGCCGGTCACAGCTACTGGTGAAACGTCAGGTCCTACAATGCCAAGACCATGGCCATACGACCCGGAAAATCTACAACAGCTAATGAGCTCTGGCCGTGAAAGCCTTCGAGAACAAATTCCTTGAGATTTGGGGATGTAGCCTGGTACGGGTGGGGTTTGGGGATAGGAGGTAACTCAGCGAGCTATAATGCCATAGAGTCCACCCTCCGAAGCAGCCACTTTCCCCCAGGGGAACTGAAGATCAGTTATAATTCCAGGAGATCTCCAGACCCCCACCTGGAGGTTGGCAACCATACATGCAACCTAACAGACTAGGAAATCAGGCCCACTTTGGGCAGAATTTGAGGGCTGCAGAGCCATAACGGTATGACTATGGAGGTTAGTTCCACAAGGTGTCTTTTTCTGGCGTGCCCTCATATGGGCCAATGGAGCTGCAACGGCTCAAGTGGTTAAGACGCTGAACTGCAGGCTGTGGAAGGTCAGTAGTTCAGCAGTTCGAGACCCGGGTGCCGCATGATGGAGTGAGCTCCCATCTATAGTTCCAGCTCCTGCCAACCTAGCAGTTCGAAAGCAAGAAATTGCAAGTAGATAAATAGGTACCACTTCGGTGGGAAGGGAACAGCATTCCGTGTGCCTTGGTGTTTGGTCATGCTGGCCACATGACCACGGAAACATCTTCAGACAGTGCTGGCTCTTCGGCTTTGAAATAGAGATGAGCACCGCAACCCTAGAGTCGGATTCGACTGGCTTTCGAGCAAGGGGAATCTTTACCTTTACCATATGGGCCTATGATGGACAGGTCAAAGTTTGACCCGTTTAAATATAAGAAGAAAGCTTCCCTGTAATCCTACTGCCTCCTCTTCCCCAACATAGCCCAACAACAAAAATCCTAGACATTTCCTGAAAACTTGGAACCTCAACAGAGCAGGTGGGAAGGAGGGGATTGGCGCAAAAAGCAGCTAAATGGCTATTTTCCGCCAGACATGGCTTAGTGTAGGGATGCTGGCCTCCAGGTGGGACCTGGGCAGCCCTTGGGATTCTGGCTCATCTCCAAACTGGATGTTCCCTCTAAGCTGTGGGGCCTTGTGAGCCAAAATTCCACTTTGTGAGCTCCTGGCATTAAAGTTGTGAGCGAGCGATTTGGCTGCTGCACGACTCAGTTTGCTCTGGAGCCCTGCTTCCTGAGCGAAGACAAAAATCTGTGAGCCGGAGGCTAAAAAACTGTGAGCTAGCTCACACTAACTCAGCTTAGAGGGAACCCTGAACTGGAGTTCCCCTGGAGAAAATGGATGCTCCGGAGGGTGGACTCCATGGCACTGTATCCCACTGAGGTCTCTGTCGTCTCCAGGCTCCACCCCTAAATCTCCAGGCGTTTCCCAACATGGAGCTGACAACTCTACCCCCCCACACCAGCGGCGGTGGGGGGGGACACTTGGCAACCTTGGGGCAGGTTAGGGAATCCTTCGTTTCAGGAAATAGCATTAGTCACAGTGTCTTCAGGGGGAGAAGGGCTTGTCGTGTGTAGTGTACAGAAAAGACTGCATCCTGATGCATCCTAAGATTGCATTAGGTTTCTTCACAGCCACATCGCACTGCAGGCTCATGTTTAGCGAGTGTTCTGGTTGATCACAAAAATCACAAGCTAAACATGAGCCTGCAGTGCGATGTGGCTGTGAAGAAAGCTAATGCAATCTTAGGATGCATTAACAGAAGCACTGTGTCCAGATCACGGGAGGAGGTGGTAGTTCTGTTCTAATCTGCTATGGTCTGACCTCACCTGGAGTCCTGTGTCCAGTTTTGGGCACCACATTTTAAGAAGGATGTTGACAAGCTCCAGCGTGTCCAGAAGAGGGCAACCAGGATGATGAGAGGGTTGGAATCCAAGTCTTATGAGGAAAGGCTGAAAGAGCTGGGTATGTTTAGCCTGGGAAAGAGAAGGCTTAGAGGGGACATGATTGCAGTCTTCAAGTTATCTGAGGGGCTGTCATGCAGAAGATGGAGCAGATCTATTCTCTCTTGCTCCGGATTGCAAGACTAGATCTAATGGGTGGAAGTTTACAAGGGAGTCGTTACCGGCTAAATATCAGGAGAAACTTCCTAACTGTAAGAGTGGTTGAGCAGTGGAACAGTCTGCCTCGGGAGGTGGTGGAGGCTCCTTCGCTGGATGTTTTCAAGCGGAGGCTGGACGACCATCTTTCGGGTATGCTGTAGGGCTCTCTTTTGGCTATGCTGCTGCAGAGTGCAGGGGGTTGGACTAGATGACCTTTAAGGTCCCTTCCAACTCGTAACATTCTATGATTCTGTGACTGACACTAAGTGCTTAGTCCTTATTCTTTAGTCCTCCAAGGTTGACAGGTTGAGCTTTCATTTAAAGGCCCTCTGGTAGTTCTAGTCTGGGTTTCAGTGGTCCTGAGTCCAGTCATTCATACTTTTTCTCGCAAAGGATAACTTGGCCATTATTCCCTCATCATTCTCCTCAGAACAGAACAAAGTGTGAATCCAGGGACATCTTTGAGACCAACAAAGTTTAATTCTGGGTATAAGCTTTCATGTGCAGGCACACTTCTAATGTATCTGAAGAAATGTGCATGCACACGAAAGGTTATACCCAGAATTTATTTATTTATTTATTTATTTGGATTTATATCCCGCCCTCCCCGAAGGCTCAGGGCGGCTAACAGAGGCATAACGCCAAGTAATAACAATAAAACAATAAAATGCTAAAATACAGAATAAACTATTAAATAGTTAAACAGAATTCATAAAAACATTTTTGGTGCTCCCCTACTCACTTCCCAATTTTAAATCAAGATGGTGTTCTCAATGATATGACTACATAACAGTACATATCCCCACTGTTGTCCCCTAAGCACGTCCCACTCCCTCCGATGGTATCCGCACCAGCAATGGCAGGGCCTCAACCGGCTCATGGCGGTGGTGGTGTAGTAGGGGCGGTGTCTCCTCCTCAAAAGCCTGGTGGAAGAGCGCTGTCTTACAGGCCCTGCGGAACTGTACGAGGTCCCGCAGGGCCCGGATTTCCTCTGGGAGCTCATTCCACCAGATAGGAGCCGCCACCAAAAACGCCCTAGCCCTGGTCATCGCGAATTTGATGGTCTTGGGGCCTGGAACATCCAGGAGATTTTGGTTCCCTGACCGTAGTGCCCTTGGGGGAACATGTGGGGAAAGGCGGTCCCTTAGGTAGGCCAGTCCCTTGCCATTTAGGGCTTTAAAGGTAAGAACCAGCACTTTGAAGCGAATCCGGTAAGCTATTGGCAACAAGTGCAGCAATTTCAGCACAAGAATTAAACTTTATTGGTCTTAAAGGTGCCACTGGTTTCACACTTTGTTCTGTTGCTTCAAACCAACATGGTTACCCACCTGGATCTTTCTCCTCAGAATACATTGTTATATCGTTAACTGTGTCTAATGTCTTATGCTCAGCTGAAGCTGCAAGTCATACTTGTACATACTTTCAAGACTCAGAGCCTTTAACCCTTTACTCTGAGTTGAGGGGAAGAAGAAGAAGAGAAGAGATCACTACCAGAGGGAGTCTCAGAGCAGCTTACAAACTCCTTTCCCTTCCCCTCCCCACAACAGACACCCTGAGAGAGCTCTGACAGAAACTGCCCTTTTTCAAGAACAGCTGTGCCAGAACTTGTGACTGGCCCAAGGTCATCCAGCAGGTGCAAGTGGAGGAGTTTGGAATCAAACCCCGTTCTCCCAGATTAGAGTCTGTGCACTTAACCACTTCACCAAACTGGCTCTACACCTAACACTTGACCACTATACCTAACTTGGGGCTGTCCCTGTACCTATGTAGTATACCTTTGGTGACACTGGTCAGTTGCCCCTCCCTTAAGAGCTTTGTGGGACAGAAGTAATCTTTACTCAATTGGGATGTGGAATGGTAATGGTATAGCCTGATCTCGTCAGGTCCCAGAAGCAAGCAGGGTCAGTAGCTGAAAGGGAGATCACCCATGATAGCTCTGCCAAGGAAGCCAGTGGCACACCACCCCTGCTTCCCAGTTGCCTTGAAAGACCCTTGCTTGTGGTCGCCAGGGGTCATTTTGTAGAAAAGGAGGTGCAGGAGCTCATTAGCATAACTCATTAACATAACTTATTTGCATATGCCACACACCCTGACATTACCGGAAGTGTGTCAGAAGGTAACACCCACCGCTCAGGCTCCACTGGACTGTTTTGGATTGCTAGCTGGGGGGGGGGCGCAGATCTGCCCTCACAGAGGAAGGAGAGCTTGTACCTGAATAAAACTTGGTCTTAAAGGTGCCACTGGACTGTTTTGGAC